CTCACCTAGGTTTTAAATACTGTACATTGATCGATCGATTGACTTATACAAGGAGCTTCCTTGACGCCAATATTAAAAGTCCTTTTGCAGAGTTAACACAGCAGTGGGACCGACTCTGACTCCATAAAATCCATTTACCCGAGAATACCTGGCTGGCTGTACTGGCTACAAGCGAATTCTGTATAACACGCACTTTTAATTGCTTCAAATTTAGCAATGAGTTTGAAAGAAAATGTTTTATGTAATTTTCCGGATTATTTGACGTTTTTTTTTTCCCAGTCAGAGAATAGTTGGGTAATGTTTCTCATAATCCAGTATTTACATGCACACAAGCATGTGTGAGACCCAGATTTGTTTAACTTGATTCATCTGGAAGTGGAGTACAATCATGGCTAAATAGTTCTAGCACTATAGGTCCTGTAAATTGCCAAAGTGTTCATTTATTTTCTTTAAAGGACCATTGCCCAAAATGCTGATAATTATATATAAATATTTGTCTTAAGTCAGCGTTATTGACCAATGCTGAGTTATTTTGTTAACGGTTGAATTTGTTTTTAGCTCTAATCATAGCCAATAAAACATTTGTAAGAATTATACAAAATGTGGATTTTGGTTTATGTTTAAACACCGAATAATGAAAAACTCGTTCTAAACACTTTCAAAATGCAGCCGCATTAGAGTCTGCTAAGACATTTTTTATTTCACGAAAATAAATAAACCAACGCCCCCCCCCCCCCCCGTAACCTATAGATGAAGTGATGTTTCCACCGACCCTGTGGATAATACCGGAAATTATACCCATTGTTAATATAACAATGATTACATACAAGCACAGAGAATGCCCCCCCCCTCCCCCCCGCTTTCCTTGGAAGATGCACACAGTGAACTCTACTTAGCGGGAGGCATGTAAAACGGTAACATTTCTTATTTTCTTAAAATTATTTTTTTTACAGCAATGCAATATGAACATGCCTTAAAGTTCCTTTACCCATATACCGTACAAATAAAAAAAAACACACAAATTTGACCCTGAAAAAGCCAGGCGTTCTTGCGCGCGCGTGAGACGAAATAATTGTTTTGTTTCTTAGAGGTACGCAAAGTCTCCACCATACACAATTATGGGGAGGCGCTGACTCAGTTTGTTGGTTACAAGCTTCTTAATTAGGTCGTTTACCCATTGGCGGTTAACATTTACTGCCATCAACATCTTTCACAGTCAAAGCACCTGCAATATGTACTATATATATGTACACACACACTCACAGATGTCACAATCATGCACGCCTCCGGTGAAGAAGTGAGAAAGCCAAAAAAAAATAACTATTGTTACAGTTTAAATAAAGGAAATTGTGATGGCTTATGCACCGGAGCACATAAAGTAATTATAATTAACAGCAGACTGAGAATTTAGCATTTGTGTTTGTAATTGTGTTTGTAATTGTGTTTGTAATTGTGCTTGCTCCGACCCACAAAAACAAAGATTCCCTCGTATAGACTTTACTAACTGTTGGGGCTAGTGGGGGTGGGTGGCCAATACCACGCCCGACCACCTTTGTCTCCCCAGTGACGATATTTACACGCCCTACTAGCTACTCATTTGAGACTGAATCGAATTAGGGGAGGCGGCCCAGGACCGGTTCAGATAATCTTCGCCGGTGTTGGCCGTGAGCAGGGAATCGAACTCGGGTGGCCGGGTTCCTAGCGCAGCGCGCTAACCGCTACACCACCGCTCCCCACGCTCCGACCCACATCACCAACACCGCACTCCATGCCATGGCCAGTCCACTTGTGACGGCTCCGCATTTTATCCACCACAGTAGCAGCAGCAGTTCGTGCAGCTCTCTCACTCCGAAACTCTTCGCACGCACAGCTGCAAAAATAAATGGTTTTTGGGTTCTTCTTTTTTTATGTTACCCACTGTTGCCACCTGTTCTGGTTCCACCACCCCAACCCACGAATCGTCCCTTTTGGAGGCAAATACATTAAAGGTCTTTGTGTTTGTCAATTGTTTAATACAGCAATACACTGCTCAAGGGAATGCAATTCGCGCGTAACAATAATTCAACGCATTCGTCAATAACACTGCGGAAAAAGAAATGTATAATAGGCGACGTTACGGGCAATTGCCACCCTTCTGGCAGAAATGTTTTTCTTATTCCCGTGATGGATAAATAGTTTTGTATTTAGTTTGATTTATTTATTTATCTATTACCTCGGAGGTGGCAAAACGTACTCCTGTCAGGGGAGTCGTAAAGACCTTTACACAGCACGGCCAAATCCGCTGCGCGTTCGAGGGCGCGAGCACGTTCACAGCGGGCACGGGGCTCCACGAGATGCCCGTTGTCATGGTGACAGCAGAGCAACCTATTACCTCCTACTACTCTTACGGGTTTTTCGATAAAGTCACGTAGGTAAAAATAAATAATACAAATTATAGAACAAATAATATAGATAAAATAAAAAATCACGACGTTTCGGAGGCAACACAAGTCTCCGTCATCAGGTGGGACCGTCACAGCCAAATTTACTGTATCACTTGATATTTAGATGTGACGGTCCCACCTGATGATGGAGACTTGTGTTGCCTCCGAAACGTCGCGAGTTATTATTTTATTTCTATAATTTGTTCTATTATTTAATTTATTTATTTTTATTTTTACCTACGTGACTTTACCGATAAAACCTAAGAGTATGAATCCTTGCAGTCACGAAAGCTTCAAATCTAGAACCTTACCTCCCCCTGCCCTGCTTTAGACGGGACACACGGGGGGGGGGGGGGGTCTAAGGTCTTAACCCCCCCCCCCCTGTGGGGGTGGTGCAGTGTGGTTAGTGGTGGTGTAATCGAGAAAGAGGGGCCCAGGTATTCATATTCTTGGTTCTTTCGGTAAAGTCACGTAGAAGGGAAATAATAAAATAATAAAAATAAAACATTAAATAATAAAAATAAAACATAATAAAATAATTAAAAGAAAACATAATAAAATAATCTAAATAAAACATAATAAAATACAAATTCTCACGACGTTTCGGCCACAACGCAAGCAGCCGTCCTCACCCTGTGGCCGAAACATCGCGAGAATTTTATTTTATTACTGTTTTATTTTTATTCCTTAATTATTTCCCTTCTACGTGACTTTACCGAAAGAACCAATAATATGAATCCCTGCAGTCACGAAAGCTTTAAATCGAAATTTAGGGGTCCATGTGTCCGGAGCGGATCCGTTGAGCGCAAGCCGAGGTTAGGGGTTAAAATAATAAGAACATTAATAAATAAATAAACCGCCCCGCCAAATGTAAGAAGTGGAACGTGCCTTAATTACTGTTTTCACCATATATGCACAGCGGCAGTCCTTGGGGCGAAAATATAATAATTGGGTTTAATGAACGCCGTCCTCGTCCAAAATGACCCCATCAGACACCATCCAGAGTCTTTTTTTTCGTGCGGCTTCTAGAGTGTTTGTGTTTTTACAACTTTACGCCTCATCAAAAAATATTTACGGAGCCAAATACAGAAAACAACGACGTGTTTTATCCATAATATAGGTTATTTGGGTGTTTTATGCATTCAAAGTGGTATATTGCCAGAATTTCCAACGGCTTTACGACACCACACATTGTGTTTTGTCTATTTATTGTAGTTGCCTACTTTGGCAAGCGGTGGTGGAGGCAGCAATAAAAGTATAAGGTACCCTCACAGGAATAGCGAAAGAAGAAGTAAAACATTACAGGAGAACACAAGATGACTGATGGTGATTGTTTACAACGCCTGTTCCTAACGCATGTATGTTAATTCCCCTAATTAGCTACATAAATAGAAATAAATCAACGCTTTTCCAACGCATTGTATTTTAAAGATTCCTCATTAAAAATGTATATCTCTGCATATATTCGCCTTGGTGAGACAATGTAGCTACTACTCAGGGTCATTATCCAAGCAATCATTGTGAGCTGGGTGGCCCCAGAGGTTTGGGGGGGCAGGGAAAATGGTTGTCATTGTTGTATTGATGCTCTTGTTCTGTGGTGATGCACCACGGATCTCCTTCGCAAGCTAGCTGGGTAACTGGCTAAAACGGGACCTTCCATGTGACAAGTAAACATTGACTGGATCGGGCCACTGAGCTTTGCGTCTTTGGGACCCTGCGTTGAAGTTCCTGCAGCCGTTCAAAATGAAATCCCGTTCTCGGGCACAGGGGTGGCACAGTGCTCATTCTACTCACCGACGACTGCACACAATAACAATGAGGTGTTAATTTGGTTTTGCTGAAGAGTTCCGTTACCTCCCCCTCGCCCCCCCCCCCCCAGCTCTTCAGGCTCATTCCCCAAGAATCAACAAGACACAGCAAAATAATACCACCGTGCGCTCATTCAAACAAGTAACGAACACAGCACCTCAGGCCTGCAGAATATTAATATATACCTCGGATGATTTCTCAGTGACAATTATCCATTATCTTCTTGGTTCTTTCGGTAAAGTCACGTAGAATAAAAATAATAAAAATAAAACATAATAAAATACAATTCAGACGCTGTCTTTCCGACCGACCTGTTCTTCACCTGAGGACGGCTGCTTGCGTTGTGGCCGAAACGTCGTGAGAATTGTATTTTATTATGTTAAATTTTTATTATTTTATAATTTCCCTTCTACGTGACTTTACCGAAAGAACCAAGAAGATGAATCCCTGCTGTCACGAAAGCTTTAAATCGAAATTTAAAATGATCAATTAATTTATTTATTGTGAAAGTGTTTTCTGCGTGTCTGTGTGCAGCAGTGCTGCCCCATGAACCGCCGCTACTAGGGGACAGGTCTCCACACTAGATGGCGGTGGAGATGTCTAGCCGTAGACATGGAGCTGAGCTAGACAGGGTGGTTCAGATGTCCTGTGACACCCCCTCCCCCCCCAAGAAAATTTATTGACCCCGAACATAGTTTTTTCCCCCTTTGCATATTCATTTCTGTTTTAAATAAACCTTTCTTTCAAAAATAGTATCACGTTTTAGAGAATAAAAATTGGGGGGGGGGGGGGGGGTCACAAGACACCTGAAACACCCTGGTAGCAAAGCCCTCTTCAAGAGGGCATACTTTTAGCCTGATCTTCCACGCTGGTCAGACACCTTGCGAGAGGTGGTGAGCACCCACGCTCGACACTCTTACCCCCCCCCACCCACCGCATCACTCGAAGTCAATCTGAACCACGACTCTAAAAAAAAAATGCGAATGAAAACCGTTGAAAAACCAAATTGGCGGGCAACTCGTTGGAGAACAAAACAAATGATATTTCTTTTCACTCCACCGTAGAAAGGTTTTGTGTCCGAGGAGACAAACTTTGTTTTGTATGCAGCATAAAAATTCGGAATGCGTTGGCGGTTTGCATATTGGATGTGAGACACCGCTGTGAGACAATACCCCTAAACTTTAACGGCCTCCACTTTTCGTTCTAATAATCCTCACCCAGCCAAGCAAACTTTACGCTAATTAAAGCTACACCACACCTCGTTCCGCCGCTTCGCTTGTGTGCGCGCCCCCATCGATTAAAAAAAAAAACCGCTTTCACCATTTACTGTGTGAGCCACGATAACACAATGTATATGCAATGTACATTACACATCAACGTTTCATATATATATAATGCATCTGTAGATTTGAACCTTGTCGAAACACACAACGCCCGGCACAACTGCTTATGAAGTCTGATTAAAACCTCACGTTCCCCCCCCCCTCCTATTTTTTTTTTTTACAGAATACAAAAACAGCATTGGAGCAAAAACAAATGCTGTGCAGTGGAGAGTGCTACCAAACGATATCTGCATGGAAATTCCGGTGACATTGAGCACCTTACCCTATTCCCAATGGACTAGCAATAGGCCAGATTCATATTACAGGAGCACTCCCCTTACCCCCTGACCCTATCATCCCCGGGAGCTGTAGGGCCTACAAAAATAGTCATTACACTGTGCAACAAAAACATATGTTTTTTGTTCCTGGGCAGTAAGTGTTATTTTCCAATTGCTCATGCCTCCAAAGTACAGAAAATTGCTATTATTCCCCACAAACTTTGCTTTTGTGACCAGGACAGTGATACTTTGAAATGTACATATTTTCAATGAGAAAACGTGTGCATTTGTGTCATTCCATCACGTAAAGTCCTGGTCACAAAAGCAAAGTTTTTGGGGAATAATAGCCACTTTCTATACTTTTTAGGCATAAGCAATTAGAAAATAAAACTGACTACCCAGGAACAAAAATCGTGTTACATCGTGTTATCTGCGGCACTATTCTTCCTATGATCTGTGATCATCAATGATCAACGCAGATGATAGGAATAAAAATAGTCCTGCGCTGCCGAGTTATCGATTGAACAATGCGTCTGATTCATGAAATATGTACGTGTTAGAGAATTGTGTATATTATCATTATTTTGACGACGTGATATTTGCCATCATTTTCTGCGAAGTGACTTTCTGTTATCCGCTAATTAATAGCAGACAAAGAGGCGTGACATGTAGTTTCATACTAGTCTCTGTGGGTTATCCACAATTTTTCAAATTGGACAAGTGCGGTAAAATCGCGGATAGCCCTGCGCATAACAATATCCATGGCTAACAGGAGTTCTGTACTCTGTGTTTCCGATTCATGGAGCCTAATCCTTGTAGGGGAAATCGCTGACTTTCCTGCGATTCTTCTCAGGTGTGCGCCGAAATATTATTATTCGCCATAAGGTTTGTTTTCTTACTGCATCGGTTTTTTTTACCTTTATCTCTTTCTGTCTCTCCCTTATTTCGCACACCCATGGGCTTGGAAATATTTCATTAAAAATTGACGAAGGCATCTCTCCCAGGCCCACTGTTCAAGGGACAAAAAGGGCTGACATTTCCCTTAGGTAGACTCTAGGTGAGCAGAGAGCCGCGGATCGGCCGGTCTGTCGTAAACAAGGCTCTGCTCGGGGAGCTGTCATGAATACAAATCCCCCGCGTCTATCGCGAAATGCAGAGTGTAAGGATGTTGTCGCTTGTTTTAATGCCACAGCATAAGGTCAGGCTTCATCCCCTCCCTTCGCCGGCAATACGCTTAAGCGTGCGCTGCATAATCTTGGGACGCACACGCGCTCGCTCAAGATGCATTTTTAACCATTTGCAAGTCTCCTTGGTCAGTGGGGGGGCGGGAGGTGGATGCTTACGGGAGACAGGTGGGGTGGGGGGAGCTTTATAGAAAAACAAAAATGAAAACTCGCCTACGTTTTGTAATCGAACACGTCTGAGAGGACGAAGAAGACGTGCTTGTTTCTTTCTTCCTTTCCGAACAGATCATTTGCACAGTTTCCACGGCACTCCAACAGATGAAAAGATCAGCGAGGCCGATCAGCGCCAACAACCGCCGACGGGGGACCCGCGTCATTTGGCCCGACGGTCCCCCCCCCACCCCTCCAGCCCCCCCCTCCCGCCACCAACGCCCATTATAGCGGAGAGCGGCCGCTATTTGCCGCGACCTTCTGTAAGGTTAAACCGTCTCGTTACCGAATGCCGACACGAACGACAGTTGCATGCTTTCAGCGTTTCTTTAATGCCTCTGAATGGTAATGGGGTCAGGGGCTTTTTTTGGCGGCGGCTGCAGTGGTGGCAGCGGCGGCAGCGGGGGCAGTGGGGCAGTGGGGGCAGAGGGGGCAGTGGGGGCAGCGGCGGCAGCGGGGGCAGCGGGGGCAGAGGGGGCCAAGGCAACCTCCGAGTGCGGTGTGCGGCCCGGCGTCCGGGGGGGGGGGGGGGGGGGTACCGCAGAGCGCACGTCCCGTTAAGAGGAGTCCGACGGAGAGAAGCTCGTTAACGCGCGGCTCTCAAGTCGCCGCTGACGAGGGGAAGCCCCGCGCCTGGGTTAACGTGACGCGCTAATTACGCCGGGTAACGGGCGGCGGTGGTTCTTTTTCTTCTTCGATGGCACCCTTTGTTCTGCGCGAGGTCGCGCCGCACTCGTTCTCCCCGACCCGGCTGCACCAAATTGGTCAAGCGCACTCGAGTTGGGGGGGGGGGGGGGAGGAAATAATAATAATAATACAGGGAGCCATCGTGATTGCGTTGGGATGGGGGTCATTCAAGCCTACGACATTTTACTCTTGCGAATTCAGATGTGCAAGACCGTCCGGTTACTCAAGGCTTTTTCCCAGTCAAGCGATGCGTTTCCTTGCCAGCTCCGTTACCCCGGTCCGCGAGCGTGAAAGTCAGGTGTCTCAATTCCTGCGTAAATCTTTACGGTTCCCCTACACAATTTTACCTTTGCTCGACACAGTCGTTTAACGCAGCCCATCTCCGGATGACATAGAGCGCATGGTTTCATAATCCTCGCATCTGCATGCCCAGCACGTTCTCAACAGCACGAGGCCTCCACGCTAAGATGGTTTCAAGACGAAGATAGCCATTGGCATGAGCGTGTTTGGCATGGGGCCCTGGTGCAAATTACGAAATGGGGGCCTCCCCCCTGCCCAATTTCCCACCCATCCCCCTTCTTCATAGCCCGGCGCCTGGGGCCCCTCTGACCTGTTGACCTCTTGTACAGTTGCACTGCCTGCACACTCGAATAAGAAGAAGGTGGCGTCCATCCCAGCCTCCGCTGTCACAGAGGCAACAATCGAGAGTGGCATCGCAAGGCAAAGAAGACGAGCCAGGCCAGACTCGTTGAAGCGGGCACCGTGGCACGGAAATTCCGCTCCACAAAGAGGCAGGATGGCGATAGGGTTGCCACCTATCCCGGTTTGCCCAGGATCATCTTTTTTTAGGCAAATCTGCAAGTCTGCCCCAGGACGTTAAGAGCCTCGCTTTTCGTAAATAACGCAAGCGCACTTGAGAGGCAACGCGTTTACACCGTAGCTCTGCCCACTCTCGGCATTGTGAGGGGTAATCTTCATCCCTCGGAGTGTTCCCGGTTTTTCCGTTGTCGTTGTTGCTGTTGTATCTCAGAGAGGTTGTAACCCTAGACGGCGAGCCGTGAGGGGTTGGGGGGGGTGGTGTGCGTTCAGACGACGGGCGGAACCTGGCGGAACCGGCCGACCGGACCGGCGGGAGAACGGCCGCTCGGAGATCACACGGCGCCGTTTTCTGGTCGGGGCTTTGGCGAGCCGGCGACGCTCGCTGGGGCGCTGGTGGGGATCTGCACGGAGGGCGCCAGCGTGCAGAAGAAGCCGGCCAGGAGCGTGAGCCCCAGGCCGCCCCACGCGCAGAACATGGACCAGCCGTAGCCGTGCGTGACGTCCGGCGGCAAGCCGTAGAGGCCGCGCGGGTACCGCGACAGCTCGAAGTTGATGCCGGCCACGCACGTGCACAGCGAGATGATGCAGAAGGTGCCTGGGAAGAGAGAGAGAGGGGGGGGTACAATGAGACAGACGTGCAAAGGTCACCGAGTCTCCGTGTCTTTAACGAGACCACAGGGCGCCAGGGATCGTCTGTGCTGGAGACGCCCGCTGGGTGTGTTGATGATAGAAGTTTCACATTTAAATACAACTCGGCCATTTCCTCCTCAAATGAGTATTGGGCTGGTGTTGATCTCCCGTGGTCACAGCCCTGGGCCAGTGGTGGATGTGGCACGTTTTTGCCGTGGGGGCACATCTATCCACGCAGCAACCGTTGATGATCTTCCCACAAAGTGGTACTCGTTAAATTCAGCCCGGCGGGATGATGTGCTGAGTCGACCCCCAACCAGGATTTGAACTCGCCTCCTTAGTAGTTGATTACCGATTTCAAGCGTCGCTCAACTATGATGTTAGCTGTGGTCGTGAATCAAACGCAGGTCGCTGGGGTTCATGGTACAGTGAGGCGACCGTTCCACCCGGATTGCATATTGGGAAGGACAAATTAATTTGGTCTTGTTCAAGTTCACATTAACCTAGCCACGCTCGAGTTGAAATTGACATTGGCCAAGTGCCATCGTGAGAGATGGGAGTCAAACACTGGGGCATGCAACGATATTTTTTACGCTCGTGATAGGACTCAATGACGCGCCAGACTGCGATTGCGGTGAGGTGCAAACCATCAGGCACATCAGAGTCAGAATTTGTATTTATACTGGAGGAATCCAATGAGCTGTAAACCTCTTTTTCACAAATGTCCTGTTGGGCCAGGTAAGAAAGTTACAACAACAAACAGGACAAACACACGATGGTAGTGCAAGGTACGAGGAAGGTAAACAAATCACCCAAAGGCATACAAATAAAACTAAATCATCCCCATCCTACCAGGAAAAAGCCCACTGAGGTATTAACTTATTTCTCAGAAGTGACTTGGCCACAAATGACAGCTCAATAAAGTGGCCCATTATTTGTACATGTATAGCAGTAAAATAATATAAATCATCTCAATCACATATCCCTGACGACTGCCCCAACACAACGAAGCTGTACGCTGGTGAAACAAGTGGACCACTCCACTCTGCTACCATCACCGGATGCCGTGGAGTGGCTCACAAAATTAGTAGCCCTGCTGATTTTTCCAAACGCCATGCCAAAAGATGAAGACGCTCTTGGCAGAGTTTTCAAATCTCCCGTCATAACAACTATCTATCTATCTACACTAATGTTACAATTAGGCGTAATGGAGCAAACAAAAGTGGACAAGTGAGAGAGAAAAGAAACAACAAAGAATACATATGAGATGGTAACAACGAGACAAAAGAGAACATCTTCTTGGTTCTTTCGGTAAAGTCACGTAGAAGGGAAGTAATAAAATAATAAAAATAAAACATAATAAAACAATTCTCACGACGTTTCGGCCACAACGCAAGCAGCCGTCCTTGCGTTGTGGCCGAAACGTCGTGAGAATTGTTTTATTATGTTTTATTTTTATTATTTTATTACTTCCCTTCTACGTGACTTTACCGAAAGAACCAAGAAGATGAATCCCTGCAGTCACGAAAGCTTGAAATCGAAAAAGAGAACATATTATTGCACCGAATGGTAATCAAGAATTGTGGCAATTCATAGAATTGCTTTACAGGAGGTAAAATAAATCAACTTTTTTTCGTACTTTTTTTACTTGTTTTTACTTTTAACCAGGTAAGACTCACTGAGTTACCATATTGCTCTTTCTCAGAAGTGACCTGGCCACAAATGATAGCTCAACAAAGTGGCTTACCATGTGGAAATTTATAGCAGCCAAATACTCTAAGCGTACGTTTCTAAACGTGGAGGCTAAAACCAGAGGACCCAGAGAAAATCCACACGGGGAGAGAGACGTTCAAACTCCAAATATGCAGCAGGTGTCAGGTTCGGGATTGAACCCACGACCTCCTGATTATGAGGCGAGGTAGTTAACATCTCACCACCGTGGTGCAGGGGTATTCAATCATTTCATGCCTATAAACTAGTCCTGTCTTGTTAGTAGGGGGCCATTGGTTAGATCAACCCTTGCATTGATAATGGTAAATGTATTTTTCCATGTCGTTCTATTTCCTTAATGTCATCGTGACATTTAGCTTGCGGTTCGAGTGAGCAATGCACATGTAGTTAGGCTGAAAGTGGCACAAATTAATTTCCCGAGGCCTCGTGGTCTCGGCAAAACACGCTCGTAATTAGATCGCATTTCATTCATTCGTAACACCTAATAAAGACACTGATATTGCCGCGATGCACGCGCCGTGGCAGCAAGCACAACCTTCACAATTAACGGGTTTCTTTCTCTCCACGCGCTCATACCGTCTAAATCAACGCAGTGCCTGGCAGTCTCTTTAGCAACTTCATACAATAAAAAAACGCACACCACATGCCACACACCGCACATCAATTATGACTAATTGAGATGATTTATGGACGCGCTGTTAGCATCGGTGATATAATAAGGGAATGCGGAAATGTCACCAGTTTAACGACCGGCCGCCGTGTTTGCGCGTGCGTCTGAGCCGATGTCGTTCCGTAAATCACGACGTCGCCGCCGAGTGAAGCCAAAACAAGGAAGGCGCGGGACGCGACGACGTGTGCTGTGCGCACACTGAACTTATTTCGCACCGCACCTAGCCAACCGCACTCATCGGAGGTGCGCGGCAGTGGAAGAGGACAACAAACTAATAGCGATTTAAAGCTTTCGTGACTGCAGGGATTCATCTTCTTGGTTCTTTCGGTAAAGTCACGTAGAAGGGAAATAATAAAGTAATAAAAAACAATATAATAAGAATGGTTTATTATTTAATTATTTCCCTTCTATGTGACTTTACATAATAATATTATGTTTCGATTTAAAGCTTTCGTGACTGCAGGGATTCATCTTCTTGGTTCTTTCGGTAAAGTCACGTAGAATGGAAATAATAAAATAATAATAATAAAACATAATAAAATAATTCTCACGACGTTTCGGCCACAACGCAAGCAGCCGTCCTCAGACTCTGTCGTCTCGACAGACCTGTTCTTCACCTGAGGACGGCTGCTTGCGTTGTGGCCGAAACGTCGTGAGAATTATTTTATTATGTTTTATTTTTATTATTTTATTATTTCCATTCTACGTGACTTTACCGAAAGAACCAAAAAGATGAAACTAATAGCGATGAAGCTTCACGCGAAAGAAGCGTCACGTGCCACCGACACGCGGTCACGGGCATGGCTGTGGCGTCGCGGTAATGGAGCACGTATTGAGGCTTCAGCGGTGAACTCTAAACGATTGGGAACTTTGATTGATAATTTTGTTGTTGTTGTTGTAATCCTCTATCGGCATGTGCGCTGAGAGGCCCATTCAGCACCCCGCAGCAGCCCCGTTCGTGCCGCGTGGTTTGTACACCATGCGTGCAGGCAGGGGTGGGCTTTGGATGTCAGCAGTGGATGATTTCATGTGGGTGGGTGGGTGGGGGGGCATTTGGGGGGTCGTAAGGGCCCAGCCACTACAGGTGTCGTGTGTGCTTGGACTCTCCGTCCCCAACATTTTTTTTAGATGTGATCGAGAGACTCCCACAAATGTTGGACAAAAACAATGTTGGGTTTGAGTCCGCGTTTTTTTAAATTTGGGATCCCTCCAACCGTGCGACAGAAAGATGCCAATCGTGCTGGCGGTGGAAGCTATGCGTACATGACGGCGCGCTAACGGGAGCCTCAGCGCTGAGTTCAGTAGCCAGCAGATTGAATGACGATGTAACAACACAGGCCGCCTCCTCCTCCTCTAAGCTGTGACCAAGAGTCGGGTGGCGCTTCACGGATCCGTCACCACAGGGAACCATTCCCTCATCACGGAGGACACCCCCAACTTCCAGAGTGTTACTGCGCCCCTGGTTGGTGGTGGGGGGGTGCCGTGCAACCCCGAATGAATCCACAGTGCCTCCTGTAAACTCCACCCCCGCCCTCAGAATCAGAATATGTATTTATACTGGAGGAATCCGATGAGCTATAAAGCTCTTTTTCACAGATGTCCAGTTGGGACACGGGGTAAGAACGCCACAACAACAAACAACACAAACAAAAAACACGATAGTTGTGCAAAGTACAACAAAGGTAAACAAATGACCCAAACACATACAAATGAAAATAAACCATCCCCATCCTACCAGGCAAAGCCTACTAAGGTATTCACGTATTTCTTAGAAGCGACCTGATTAATAGGCAGCTCATTGGGGTGGGTGGGGAGGCACTTGGGCTCAAGGTAAATGGGTCATCATGGACCATGCGGTTGATGCCATTACCACCACCACGCTTCATCATCGCTTCCTTCCTTCTGCCAGATCGCACAATCATTTGTACTGTGAACAGCCGACTCCACTTACAATCCCCTGCATGTTTAAATGCACTGCTACAACCCTTACAGTACAACCCTCACCGTCAACCCACTACTGAGTCTCGTCGTGCGGGGGGCTAGGCAGGGGGGGATTATTCGACCATAATCCAGCAAGGCGGATCAATGTTCATCGGCGAGAGCTCACTCGAAGCCGCTTCAAGGCTTGCTGTCGACTTGTGTACGGCACGGCATCACGAAATAACCGATGTCGATCTCACAAGCGGCCCTGTGACAGCCACTTCTGGGGGCTGTTTTCGAACAGCAGGGGTTGCACTGCTCTGCGAGAGACACCGATGGATGCATCATCTCACGACACGTGCCGCTGATGGCAGAAATTAAGCGTGGGGAAAGACAAAAATGGAAAGAGCTGACCAGCGAACGGGGTGACCCGGGCAGGTGCTCGCTTGCGTGAGGATACATGCAGAGTGTTGCTTGCGTGAACGTGTGGAGCATGCTTGTGTGCATTCGGAGTGAGGTGCCTGCACAGTATGCTTGCGTGTGTGCGTGCGTGCGGAGGGAGCGTTCGTGTGGATCGTGCGTGTGCACGTGCTTGTGTGAGCATGCGTGCGGAGCGTGCTCGTGTGCGTGCGGAGGGAGCGTGCGAGCGTCTCACCGCCCATGAGGAAGAGCAGGCCGGCCACGTACTGCATGAGTCCCCTCTCCCAGCAGCATCCCAGCACGCCTAGCACCCAGCCGAACAGCAGGATCGCCACCGCCATGCCCAGGAAGCCCGCCGTCATGCGCCGCAGGTCTGGTCGACAGCACGCACACAACATCGCCACCGTTACCACCGCCACCATAAGCGAGGTCATAATCCCCACCGCCACCATAAGCGAGGTCATAATCCCCACCGCCACCTTTAGCGAGGTCATAATCCCCACCGCCACCATTAGCGACATCACAATCACCACCACCAACACCATGAGCGAGTTCATCATCATCGTCGCCACCACCGCCATCAGTGACGTCATCATCACCACCGTCACAGCGTCATTACTACAATGCTATCACCACCGCTCTCATTTCTCTTATTGTGCCGATGCTTTGCTCCACTTTGGGGGGTCATGATTCAATGCAAGAATTGCCTTGTCTCGCTCGTATCATCTGCAATGCATATTCTTCTATTCGTGACGTCTTGGTCTATTCGTGCATAAGTTCATTCGCATGTTATTTTCCTGAATTCAAAATAATCAATTCCTCGCTGTGTGATTCAATGCACGTATTTGTGAGCATAATAAGTGATTTTAATTAATTGTCATAATTTACATTGCAAATAGCACAGACATCGCTATTACCGTCAACATCGCCATCTAAGTTACGACCATAACCACCACTTGAACCATCAACATTGTTATTGCTACCACCATGCCCAGCGCGAAAACCATGGCAGGCATCATCATTAAAACCATCAACGCCACCAGTCATCATCGTAATCATCACCACCAATACAGCCATCACAATCTCCATCATCATCATCACCGCTATAATCATCACCACTGACATCATTATCACTACCATCAACAGCCCGTCGCTATAATCATTACCGCCAACATCATTCTCGTCAGTACGACCAACACCACCGCCATTCCTGTTATCATCATAACCATTTATATTAATTGGTTGAAATGTTGTGTTTTCTTCATTTTAAATTAGACGGGGTTTATTTTTTTGTATTGAAGTACGGATTTCTGCTACTCAACAATGGCGAAAAGGCTTTATTATTATTACTACGTATTATTATTCGGTTGCCTGATCTTCCACTCACTCGCTCACTCGTCACGAGTCTGCCTCTGCTTGAGAGGCACGGCTCAAATTAAATTATTCGTCTGATATTTTATTCATGTTTCGGTGCCCGAGCAGAATAACGGGAAGTTAAAGTTGAATTCTCCACTTTCCTTACAGTCCTTCACTGGAGTAGAAAAATGAGCCTTGGTGTGTGTGTGTGTTGTTTGTTGATGGCAAAAACAGAGGGGCATTTTTTTTCTTCTAAATAAATAAAACCACGCGGTTGATATTTCAAAAGAAATCCAGAGAGCCGAAGGGCCAATTTTATCTCTCGCAGCCCACGGAGGTCTATTAGCTGTTGTATTAGCTGAATACAAAAAATCGCGTTATTGCCCTAATATATTATATATATGTCCTGGCTAATCATTCTTACGAGGGGGGGCGCGGAAATCAATGTGGTTTCCTTCTCAGAAAATTAGCCTGATGCTTTTCCTCGCTTGGGTGGACTCCATTGCATTTGATCAATGGCCTACTTTGATTGGTTTTAATCAAAGACCTTCCTGGCACTTCCAAGTAATAATAATCAAAACGGCAGCGGCAAACGGCTCCTCTCGCAAACGCGCGAAGGAACGACAAAGGACGCAAACGACGTCCGAGACAAAGAGGTCAAAAGGTTCAAGCGGAGGGTGCAGCCCACGCCGCTGCTGGTAGAAGGATCTCCAGAAGGAGGGAGCTCTCTGGTGCCCCTCCGGAGGGTACTTAGCCGATTCTTCGACACTCGCCTGGCCTTCTCAAAGAGGTGGGAGCATCCACACGTAGTCCCACCGCACGCTGCTGGGTGGACAGAGGCTCTGGTACGAGGCATTTAAGAAGCTTGCCCCCCCCCCCCCCCCCCGTTGTTGCAACTGATGAGCCGGGAGAAGCAGTCGAATAGGCGGCCTGTAGATTGCACGCTGCGAACCATTAAACCACCACCGCCGCCGTCATCGCCGTTGCAGCATCCTAGAATAAGTAGAGCACCGTCAATGCTTTGGGAAGGCGACATTACAATTGGCCTCATTCCCGAGGCTACGAATCAGCAGCATGCAATGACATGTAAATCATATCAGCCAACCGCCTCGGTCTGGCACGAACAAATCCCTTTGCGATTCCACCAATATCAGCTGTCGGGTAAAAATGCTCCCACTGACACCCGCCCCTCCCCCCTCGTGTGGCGGCATAATTTAGAGTGTAGAGCTCTACGGAAAAGAAAAACAATCACTGGAAATGAATTAATTGAAAAGCGGTCGCATTACAGTGTCGGAAATTTCATGAAATACCAAGAGACGATCCGATCGCCACTCTTCGTGGCGAGAGAGAGCAGGCTCCGATTGCAGGTCGGCCCGAGAAGATGGATAAGTCGCGAGTGGAAGAGCCAGGCCAAAGTAAATTAGGCTGACAATTCTCCCCGAGCACAATTTGTTTTGCTTATAAATGGCCCGTCAAACCGATATCTCCCGCGATGAATCAATGCGAAAGGGGGCCTTAGCTGCGTATAATTTTGTAGCCACATCCGATAAGAGGACCCCTTGAACATGCCATCGGCACGTTTTGGACAAAAAAAAAACTATCCACGGGGTGTCCTCGTCAGCACGGATTAGTTCCTTCGTCGCCGTGATAAATTGGCTCTTCCGAACTTTTTTTCCCCCGTTGGTCGAGGTTTAAAGCATTTTACAAAGTCTGTAGAAGTGGTCCCCAGTGCGGAATCTTTTTTTTTTTTATTTTGAAGCCGAGGTGTTCCGCTCACACGGTTTTTCAGACTCTTCGTGCACATTCATAATCAACGTTTTTGGGTTTAGATCGCGTTATTTATAAATGTGTCGTAACCCTCCACCACCCGACACGGCCAATCAGCAAAAAAAGTGTCACGTTGACAAAAGACAAATAGTTCACTGCTTTAGCCCACCCGTGTGTTTTGAAGTGTGAAATCACAACATTTACAAAAAAAAAATATTTGTAAATGTTGTGGTTTCACGCTTCAACACATTTTTTGTAAATGTTGTGGTTTCACGCTTCAACACATTTTTTTGTAAATGTTGTGGTTTCACGCTTCAACACACCAGTGGGCTAAAGCAGTGAACTATTTGTCTTTTGTCAACGTGACACTTTTTTTTGCTGATTGGCCGTGTCGGGTGGTGGAGGGTTACGACACATTTATAAATAACGCGATCTAAACCCAAAAACGTTGATTATGAATAATATTGGTCGCGAAAGCCCACATGTTAAACTCTTTGAGCACACATCGCGATATTTCAAGACCTTTCCCAGCAAGGTGTTCATAACAAGCAGCACGACCAAAAAAACAAAATCTGATATTAACTGCGCCACTTGAGAGGATTATAACGCTATATTAATTATTGACAATTTAAACCGTGCTCAATATTACCCTGCTCAAGGGGAATTAACACTGTGGTGTCGACCCATTCATTCATTGGGGCGGGCCCCCTTTCAATATAAAATATCCTGGGGGGCTGACAGTACAGATTAAAGAGAAGGGATGAAGTGAGATGAGAGAAGAGAGGCGCAGACAAGGTAGAGATGACAGAGATTATCTTTTTTTATGTTATCTCATGCCCGTTAGGATATTAATTTGAAGTGATATATAATGTACCCCCGAATATACCATGAATCCAAGGCCCCTTGAGCTACTTAGGACCAAATCTTTTACTTTAGTTTTCTTTTGACTAGCACTGCCACGGTCACTGTGATAGTCAGCTCTATCACGGCACTAACATCATTCTCATATTAAATAGGTTCAAGAGCCTTCCTTGAGGCTACAAAATTCAGCAGAGATCACAAAACTTGAAACCATTTTTTCGTCTATGCAACACAGGTGAGGGGGGTGGGGGACGTGGGTCTATCGCAGGCCACGCGAACCGGCCGTTTGCCGAATGAGACAAAGCGATTAAATGCACGGGACGACGCCACTGCTCGCTTTCACAACTCCAGCGTGCGTCTCTCTCCACCGACGTGCCCAAAAGGGGTTGCTGAAAACGGAGTCGTTTATTTCTTGCCGGAATCCCCGGCAAGGCCCTTGTGTTTTTCAACGATCGCGGCGGTTTTTGACGGCCACGCGTGGCGCGACAGCCCAACGGAGCGCCGTGTTTTAGCATCTCGCTGCTGGAGCCGCACCGGCACCTCCGCTGCCCCGTGCCAACTTTCCACGCACTTGTTTATATGTATTTATTTTATTGCGTGTGAAGATAAACGCTCGACTTTTGCCGCATTGACGCCAAAGCGGCCGAAGGATCTGTCCGCACGGCGCGTGAGAAAGTCGTTTGCAGAACTACAGACGACTCTGCGTGTATGTTGAACTTCTTTCGCACCGCACGTAGCCAACCGTGCTAATTGGAGGCGCAACGCGTGTGCAGCGCGAGTAAGAAGTGGGGGCTTTCCTGAAACGAATTGAGCGATGCATTTCAATCGTGAGTCAGTAATGTACTTTACAGTGGCACGGAACCTCCAGCCCACGGAGTGCAGTTGCACCTCCTGCACACATCCTGCAGCTCATGGTACATGCGCGAATTCGTGCGTGTGAGAATCGATGATATTATGTCTGTGCGTGTGTTTAACTTCTTCTGCACCGTACGTATCCAACCGTGCTAAACGCAGTATGCGGGGTAAGGAGGACAAACTAAACACGAAAATAAGTTCTGAAGATATGAGTTTTCAATCTAGATGATGTTAAAAGTGCATAGCTCCAGTGGCTTCCTAATATCGGAAGAAGAGCATTCCAGACGGCCACAGAAACTCATCTGAAAAGCGCGTGATGCGGTGACCGTCTTTGTTTGACGGTTAGCCAAGAGCCGCTGCTGTTAGGATGACCAGAGTTCGGACGATGGCTTTGAATGTGAAATAACCACACGGCGCCCCGCTGGGATCTTTGTGTTTGCTTGGCCAAATAATTAATTTAATTTCACTTTATTTTTGGCCAAATAAACACGGGCTGCCTGCAGCACCACATGAGCACAATTATGTGTTGTGCTG